TAAATAAAACAAAAVTATTGGTGGTAATTTTTGACTGTGTAACTTTAGATATAAATTACAGGAAAAAGCAGTCATGACAGACTAATGATGGGGGGGGGTGCAAAGTGAGTCATACTCAGTCATTAAGACCAGTTCAGGAAATAAAATAAAATGACATACAATTGTCACAGGGTATTATTTAAGTAATGACTGGGAGGTAGAGTTGTGCAAACACAAACATGGATACTTATCGAGTTTTTTGGGAGCAGTGATGATTATAGAGTCTAACAGCTGATGGGAGGAAGGATCTGCAGTAACGCTCCTTTGTGCATTTAAGATGCAGCAGCGCGTCACTGAAGCTCTGCAGATCAGCCACAGTTCCATGCATGGGGTGAGACGTTCTCTGTCATTAATGTTATTTTTACCAGAGTCCTTCTGTCTCCCACCACCTGCACTGGGTCGAGGGGACCTCCCAGCACAGAGCTGGCCCCGATGAGCTTCTTGATGAAAACTACGCCTGATGGATTTTTATAGATGACATTTATATTCTTCTTGGCTTTATTCAACATGTTCAGGTGTTTTCTGCACATAGGCGTGAAAATGACAGAAACTAATCATCAGAAAACCAACTCAATACAAAGAACCAGAGTTATCAGCAGTAAGTATCTTACCTGCAGTAGATGACAGTCTGAACTGTGTCTGTTATCAGAGAGTTGATTCACAACAACTCAGAACTGGTCTGAAGACACAGAAGTCTGAAATGTCTCTAAGCCATAGAGACTAAATAACAACTGGATTGACTCTCGATTGTGATCTACTCTCGAAGCTTCGGCGCTAAGCATGAGTCTAGTGTCCCATTTCACAAGTAATCAGATTTTGTCTTATTTACCTTGATGTGGATGTGATCTGACCAGAACTGAAGCTAATGATGTAACTGTTTAATATTAAAACAAGCTTATAAAGCRAATGGCAGCACTGCYAATTATTGAATTGGTTAGCAGGTATTAGCTTCTGTAGCATATGTTCAGGGGCGGAGCTAGACTTTTTTGCAATTGATGGGACAGGGTGGCCAAGGTGTTTTTTTGTTGCTTTTTTGTGGGGATGGGTGGGCACATACAACTAATCTGGATTTGAAAATTCAAGATGGTCACCACTATGGAGGA